TTTAGAAAGAATTCAGGCAGAAAAAAAGCAAATCAATTAATAAACAATAAGTAAGGTTATTACATATAACATATATGTGGCACATTTCAACAATAAATTTCTTACAGAATTACATCTGACTGAATCAGTCTCAGCAGACAGAATACATGATATATCCAAACCCATGCACTGGCAGTATTGAAAATTTATATGCAGTGTGTTAATAATGTAGAAAAAAAAGATAATTTCATAATTGGTTCTGATTTGCTGCCAATTTACACTGATAGTATTAAAACTAATAGACAACAGATTAGAAAATAGATTATTGGAGTTTACTATGATAACACCATAATACCTATTATCTCATCAACTTAAAGTAGGAATTTGTTGAATTTGGTTTGTACAAACATTGAGAAAGTCAAGCAAGAAGACACAATTAAGTTGGCTAGGTTTTTTCATCTTTTACCACAGCCCCCTATATATTTACTTATGGCTCCTGTTATATCATGTTTTGCTACACTATCAGGGGTGCATGTTAAACCCAGCATTTTACATGGATTTCTATCAGGGTCGCATTGACTGCCTCAGTGTTTCTAGGTTTAAATGTATTCTTTTTTTTTCCCAGTCAGTGTGGCAAATGCAACGCTATTATTATCATATTAATTTGACACATCTAAAATAAATAAATATCTATTTTATCAACTACGTTATTTACAGGAAATTTTTATTTTCTTAGTTGGGAATCTGACTTGTATAACAAGTTTCAAAAATATGTGTTAACTTTTTGTAAAATACAATCTAATACGAAAATGTCAAAGTTCCTATACTCTTTGAGCCAACAGGCGTTAACAATCTAAATAACGATAAACATTTTTCCACCCTAACAGGTGTAATGGGAAATGTTAATCAAGCACAGGCTTTACACACCCACTCAATCCTTAAAAAAAGGTTTAATGTGAAGATATGTGAATAAGGTCTAGCATGAAACAAGCTTTAGAAATGTGGCTTGTCTTTTTCTCAAATGTATAAGAACACTAAAAGTAAAACTTTGTACATGCTCCAAAATCAAAAAATATCAGATGTCAAAAGAAATCAAAGAAACAAGAAATTTAATGGAGTCTAAACTATAAGTAACTATTAATCCCAGTTCATGGGTAATCTCAGTTACCCATGAAGCTTTGACAGAAGTACAAAAGTAAAATAAAATAAAATCTGAGTGGTAAATGTTTCTGGTTTATCTGGTTTATCTTTTTTCAGTATTTCTTTTTTCTTTATTTCTGAGACTTTCTTTTCACATTTCTCACCCACATATTTAATCCAATAAATAGGCAAAAACAAGTTGTAAATATTACAATTACATTTTTCTAGTTTTTATGTTGAGCTGATTGGCCAAAGTTGGCTGTTTGTAGACTCAGCAGCTACTGACTAAAGTTTGCATTCCTTAAATTGCGCTCTGTTTTAATTTCTTTTTTTGAATTACTACCAAACTCCTTTGGAGCTACACATGCCAGTTCTAAGTCTGAATCAGTAGTTTGGTGCCAATGACTGTAGTACAAAGTGAGCTTTAATGCTTTCTATTTAAAAACTTTAAATGTAAAGCTGCAGAGTCAGTAGCTGTTTCTACCAGAAATCCCATTCACTTTGCCCCTGTTTTCATTGTCTTTTTTTTTTTGTTTGTTTTTGTGATATTATAAAAACAGCAAAAACTGATTCTTTGTTTGACATTACGAGTGTCACAGCAGGGGTTATCGGCACTGCCTGTACACCCAACTGGGTTTTTGTCAAAACAGCTGGAGGATATTTGGGCTCAGATGGCTGCTGTGGCCAAGAGCCCAGTCAACCCAGATAAGCAGCTGCTCATCTCTGAAATAAAATTAAAAGCATGGAGAAACACTGGAAAATGTGGAGGAAAATATGGTGCCACAGATTGGTTTGTCAGCAGTGATTAAAAGTCTAACATTCAGGATTGCTATTATGTTGGAATGTTCTTATTTTTCACTTTCAGTTTTCCTTGATTTGAATATTGTTATCCTTTAAGTGGGAAAATTGCTCATAACTTTATGGAGTGTTCTCAAGTCGGAAAAACTAATGTTTTGGTGACAGTTCAGATGCACTGCAACACCATCAAATAGAAATGCTGTAGAAGGACATTAAAGAAAATGGAAGTTGAATAAAATCATTGGAAATAAGAAAAAAAAAAAAAGGAAGCTGAATAAAAGAAAAAAAACACCACATAGTTTAAAAAAAAACCTTAAAAAAACACAACAGAAGTGTTTTAGGTGAGACAATAACATGACGAAACAGTTGTGGAAATGACAAGCTAATACTAAACAGCTTCTTACAACACTGATGAAGCTTCTGCTTTTCTTAACCATGTATCAGTGTAATCCTTTCGTCACTTTCTTTAAGTTGTGTTTTGTGAGATTTTGCTGAAAGTTACTTTTATTGATCCAACTTTTTGATTTAACTTTTGTTGTGATTTGTGTGCTTTTGCAGCATTTTTCTATTTGCTGGTGTTTTCCTAAGTTGCAGTGCATTTGAACTCTCAAGTACACCATAGAGCAATGTGTATAAAAAGGGTTTCATCTGTTTATTGAAATGTGGAATGACTCATATGTATAATGTCAGAAATGGAGTTTCAAAATGTACTGTAACTGCTCCCAGTCCTTACACTAAACCACTGAACATAATTTTACTACGTATCATGAGTATTGATAGTTACGGTACAATACAGTAGTAAGTTCATCGCTAAAATTCATCACTAAATACTGCAACGTGTTTGTTAAAGAACAGTACACTTTTTCATTTCATGCAACACTTCAGCTGCTTTCACTGCTGATATGTCTAATGACACTTTGGCAGACAACATCACATTTAGTGTGTGTATAATGTATAATGTCCACTTACACTGACTCAGGTACATCTCAGGTCGTTATCGTAGAAATCCCTTTAAAAAATTATGCTTATCCTTCATTTGAAGTGACACTTTCTCTTCAACTGCAAACTTCATAGCTGACATGTGAAAATGGATTTCAGGTGATGTAACAGCGTACAGTCCAGCTCACATTTCAGCTTCTTATGATTAAACCCCATTAATTTCAGTGCATTCACACACCATTTGTCTTCACTTTTCCACTTCTCCGAGTTTTACATTTTATGTTGTGTTATATGTTTTCAAGTGACTCTTAACCCATGTTTTAATGAATCTCCAGGTTTATCTGCAGTTCTTTTTTTAACTGCCACTTTTACTTCCTTAGTTAATACACAAAGAAGTAAACAATGTTTAAGAAAGAATATATTTATTCTTTCTTTTAACCTTTATTTTTAACTGAAACAGTTCAACACAAATATGAAAGTACAGTGTGTACTGACATTTCAGTTTCTTAAGCACTTACATTTCACGTAATGTTTTTGTTTTGCAAATATTTGAAAAACTTTTGTAATATGATTTCTGATGCATATGTACAGCCATTCATTAGTGTGTAATGTGTTACCCTCACAAGTGCAATTTGAGGTTCTACTTGCCTGAGGACAATTTGATGTGTGCACTGTAAGTGTCAGGGACTAAAACCACCGATCTTCTGAATAGTGAACAACTTTTGCCACCTCCTGAGCACCAGCTGCCCTAAAGTTTTTGTCATGTTTACACTTTACTGGTGATGGGGAACGAAACGGCTCTTAGAGCCGACACTTTGACATGGACAACACGAGCCGACTCCTTTTTGGGAGCCATGGGTTTTTTTTCCTTTCTCTCACCCTCTCTCTCACACACACTTTTTCCCGCTTCACTCCGTACACGAGCCTTGTGCTTTGCGCTGGGCAGAGGGGGGAGGGGCGGTAGTTACACTCGCAGTAGCACAGGAACAGAGCGGGAGGGAGAGAGAGAGAAAGAGCCAGGGACAACAACGTCACATTAGAAAGGTATAGTAATCATCCGCAACTATTTTCAGTTGCAGATGATAAAGGATTCAGAAAGTTTATTCATGCAGGCCCATATGACAGAGAATGTGCATGTTCTTTTTGTTTTCATATTTTTTCATATTTATATTTAATTGTGTTGTGGTTTGCAGTGTTTTGTGTTGTTTCACTTTAAACTTGTTTAAAAGGAAAAAGCTGAAAATTTAAATAGTTAAAGTTGAAATGTAAATAGTTGGTTTTTGTATTATACGATTTATTTATTAAATTTTATGTGGAGTGAATAAATAAAAGTATATTTACGGTGGCCCCTCGAGACAAAGCACAAAACTTCAAAACATGTAAAAACTCCAAATCACGTAAAAACTCCAAAACACAACAGAAGTGCTCCAGGATGCTAGGGGCAGTGTTGAGCTTTGTTACCTAGTGGCCACACAAGCCAGGAAGTATCAACGACCGGATTTGGTGTGTGGTAGTAACAAAAATTAACATTTTTTTTAAATTATTTGAATACATATGAGTGCTTGTGTATAAATACACAAACAATACACATATGCTTTCAATTGTGTAATTTAAGTGATCTAGGGTAGCTCTGTTTTGAAGTTCAGTTAACGCTAGAAATGTGTTTTGGAGTTTGTATGTGTTTTGACTCTGGGGGCCACCGTATATATTTATATATAAACATATATAAATAAAACCACTTTTTTTTACATTAGTAATTCCTTTTGTGAATAATTTTATATTGTTGTCAATAATTAATTAATTAAAGCAACAAAACAACCTGAAGAGCCAGTTGGGAGCCGAAAGAGCCAGCTCTTTTTAGTGAGCCGAGCCGAAAGAGCCGGTTCTCTAAAAAGATCCGGAAATCCCATCACTACACTTTACCTGAAATTTAAGCTCAAGTCATTGCTTTTATTTCAGATTTACATTTCAGCTGACCCTTCTATACTTCTATTTTATTACTTACACTTAAACTTTTTTCAGTTTTCAATAAGTGCAACTACAACTCTTTTAAGTGCATCAACCCCCTAGTACACATATAACCTTACTTGACAGACACAAAAACTTGTAGTTGGAATTCATTTATATCTTATAATTTTCTACAGCTTCAGCCACAGTAGAGGACTTCCAGATTCGTCCACACTGCCTGTTTGTCCATTCGTACCGAGCTCCAGCCTTCTGCGACCACTGTGGGGAAATGCTGTGGGGACTTGTACGCCAAGGACTTAAATGTGAAGGTAAAATATCCTACTCCCATAAGATGAAATCATGAGAACATTATGGCTGAGGTAAAATTTTAAAAAGAGACACTATCCTATTCTCCAGGTTGTGGTCTGAATTACCACAAGCGCTGTGCCTTTAAGATCCCCAACAACTGCAGCGGGGTGAGGAGGCGTCGTCCCTCCAATGTCTCATTGACAGGCGGGATAATCAACACCGGGCGTCCGCTCTCTGCTGAGCCTTCACCTCCCCACTACAGTGATGATGCTTTATTGGTCAGTACAAAAGCACAGACCTGTGGAACACAGTTTTTCAGAAATGTTGAAGTAACTTTTTTTGTTCTTTTTTTGTTGTCCAGTCTCCAGTCAGTCCTAGCATGGAGGTAAGTCCTCCCATCTTTTTACATAGAAATACAGGCAGCCAAGTTAAATTATACTGTGCAATTCATTCTCCCATCTGTTAGTCTATTTATCATATAGTTCTTGCAGGCAACGGTAACCCCAGAGCTGAGAAACCAAACTCTAAATCTGCTGCCATAAAAAATCATTTTAAGTGTGACTTATCATGGAAAACAGGTCCACTGGCAAAAACTAGAAACGTATGAAAAACTTTGAAATGCTTTGCTTGTTTCTCCCAACAGCAGAAGAACCAGTTAGATTACTTTCCTGGTAGAGAGCGGCGATCCAGCTCACAATCATATGTTGGCCGTCCCATTGAGCTTGACAAGATCTTACTGTCAAAAGTCAAAGTTCCCCACACATTCCTGATTCACTCTTACACCCGGCCTACTGTCTGCCAGCACTGCAAGAAGCTGCTCAAAGGCCTCTTCAGGCAGGGCCTGCAGTGCAAAGGTGAGCTGTTGTTCTGAAAACCTGCTGTAGATGTTTTTCAAAGCTCTAGATGTCAAACTTAAAACTGTCTCTGCTTGTAGCACAGCTTGTCCAGTGTCCAAAACATTTTGCATTAAGATGCTTAAAGAAACCTTGTCCTTTCAGAATCATTGAGACATTTCTTTGGCTCAACCATGTAAAAACTACCAGTAGGTTTACTGTTTACTTGTTAATGTAACCATTAGATACTGTAATACAGTATAATACAGAATAATGATTTGCCATGGTGCTACATGTAATGTTGCTGTAAAAGGACTAGTAGAGAGACTGAATACTGAATGTGTAAAAACATTACCTGGATAAATAAAGACTCTGCTGATTGTACTATTAAAATATAGAGTTTAGATAATGTAGGTAGATTATTTTAAGTACCTGGGATAAATTCCAGGCAACAGAAGCAGTGTTGAGGAGAGGTGAAGAAGAGTGTGCAAATGGGGGGAGCTGTTAGAGACAAATGTCAGGGCTGATTTGTTACAGAAGGATAGTGAATGGGAAGTTTATGAGATGTTCGCGAGACTTGCTATGTATGGTTAAGACACAGTGACAAACAGATAGGAGGCCAAGCTGGTAGTGGTAGAGTAATGAAGATGTTAAGATTTTCATTGGGACTGAAAGTTAGTAAATTCTAGGGACAGCTCAGGTTGAGTGGTTTGTAGACAAAGTGACATAGTGCAAAGGAGGAATAGCAGATATATTCCACAATCAGTGATGGGAAGGTTACTTTTACAATGTATTCCACTACTGATTACAGAATACATGCCCCAAAATGTATTTTGTAACCTATTCCGTTACGTTACTCAATTAGAGTAACTTATTCTGAATAATTTGGATTACTTAATATATTATCAGGCAATTATGTAGGCAACTAAATGAATGTACTATTGCTCTGTGATCTTTTACTATTACTGAAGAATACTCGCCATACCAATACCAACTAGATTTTTAAATCTTAATATAAATGAGTAACAGTAGGGTGGACATTAGGTAAGGCTGCACTTTTTGCAGCGATCTCATATAGAAAACTATTGCGCGCATATTTTTTCAGGTCCGCGGCTCCGAACTGTAGTAAAGGGACCTCTGGCTAATACGTCGGGTTCCGTGTCGGGCTCGTAACCGAAAACTAGCTTTACTTTCTTGTCTGGGTCAACTTTGCTAGCGAGAGACAGAGAGAGGCGTTGAAAGGCTGCTCCAACGGAGCTTATTGTTTCGGAGGAAAACATGAACACAGTGTACAGTCGAGTCTTAACAGCTTACTTACAACTGGGCTACACTGCCCATGAGGCTACATTCTCCAGGGCTATGCCTGTAACACTCTGCTCATATTGCCTTCATAATAAATAATTTGTTGAAAAGTAATTTTTAAAAATATTTCTTCACATCATTATGCGGGCGCAAGTACAGGTAACATGGGCCGCGAGATTGACACACATGCATTAGAGCCTCTTATTGTGTGTTTTGTTTGAGTTTCCACCGGCGTGGAATTACCAGAAATAGAGAGGGCATAGCCTAACAAATGAAACAGGAAAAGACCGCTGTGTAATCCCTTTAATTCAACAAACTATTCTGAATACCACCTTTTTAAACAGTAACTGTAACGGAATACAGTTACTCTTATTTTGTATTTTAAATACGTAACGTCGGCACATGTATTCCGTTACTCCCCAACACTGTCCACTTTGTGATGTTGACTGGCTCTTGCTGGGAGGTTACTTAGCATTGGTGTTGTGTGACACATCTTTTTCAGCTCTGGGTAGGTCTGCTCCTGTGCTATTTTTCTCTTGTAGCTTAGAGCAGCGGTCCCCAACCTTTTTTGCGCCACGGACCGGTTTATGCCCGACAATATTTTCAGGGACCGGCCTTTAAGGTGTCGCGGATAAATACAACAAAATAAAACTAGTACCGGTAATGAAAAAAAGAAGATTTATTCATAGCACATGTGAAAAGACCCAGGAAAACCGAGTTAACGATAAAAACGATAACAAAATAACGCTGAAAACCGATAAAAACCCTGAAAACCATACATTTCACACCTGAGCCTCAACTCTCGCGGCCCGGTACCAAACGATTCACAGACCGGTACCGGGCCGATACCCCGGGGTTGGGGACCGCTGGCTTAGAGTACACCCTGGATGGATCTTTGGAGAAAATCCATCCTAGTCACCAGAGCTTTGTTTAACAGTTTCTAGAACCTTGGTTATAGACATCATGTTGTACGCCCTTTCATTTAAGACGTCTGATGATGCAGTTCTATATCTCCCTGTTCCAACATAAGTGCAATTATGTTGGAACAGGGAGATATAGAACTGCATCATCAGACGTCGTAAATGAAAGGGCGTACAACTGGTGTGCAAACCAGTGCACAAATCAAGTAACATAAAGACATGGACAGTCTTGACCTCAACATGATAGAACACCTTCAGTATAAATGAGTGGGGACTGTGAGCCAAGGTGTAAGGTTGCAAAGGTTGGGCCAACATCAAACCCTATGGATTAAGAATAGGATATCCCTCAACTTCATAAAGGCATACGAGGAAATGCTTTTAGCAATATAGTGTAATCTGGCCGTTTTGGAGTTTTAACTGCATCATGTCTTCATCTGTATTAAGATTTTGAACAGTTACTGTGGAGCTGATGTCAAAGCCTCTTCCTAAGCCTTGTGTTCCTCTTTCTTGTTTCTCTCTCAGACTGTAAATTTAATTGTCATAAACGATGTGCGCAAAAAGTGCCAAACAACTGCCTGGGAGAAGTATCAAAAAATGGAGGTACCTACCGACACACAAACACATTTCTTTGTTTTTGTATTATATGAACACAGAGCGTTACTTTAGCCACCGCTACAACATCCATAAACCCCATCATAACTTAAAATTTTATTTTAAAATCAGGCTTGAGACTGAATAAAAATGATGCTTTAATTTCTTTTTCACACACACACACACACATATATATATATATATATGTATATATATATATATATAAAAAAAAAAAAAAATATTATATATATATATATATATATATATATATATATATATATTCTCCCAGTGTTTCATCTGGCTCAGTCTCTTGCTATCCCTAGTATCCTTCTCACAACCAACCCTCTGTATATGCACTTTCACTACATTCATGTATCTTTTCTGTGCTTATCCTATTTCCCTCCTGCCTCCATGTTCAACACCCTTTGCGCAATGTAGTCACCATCCCACCACTGCACACGTCTAACATGTCTAAACCTTGCCTCTCTAGCTTTGTCTCCAAACAACTCAACCTAAGCTATCACTCCGTTGCATTATTAATTCTCATTCCTAATTTTGTCCATTCAACCCTGACACTCATCTCCACCAACACCTTTGTGCACTGACCAATGCTTTGGATGATTGATCCCTGGTAATGGACCAGTCATGTACTTTAACTTCCTTTGCCCCGGTTTCACTGTTACTCCTACCTGTCTCTCATTCACACATGTATTCAGTGTAAAGGGGCCAGAGCAAGAAGGGGCTGTAGACAAATACTTTCTTGGCAGTTTCCCTAACCACGTCAGCTGTACTTTTCCCAGTCATCTGGCAGTTCTTCCCTACAACCCTTAACTCCTTCCTAAATGCTGCATAACATTCTTCCTTCAGCTTCCATAACTTAGTCCTTTTCTCATTCCCTTACTCTTCTTGAGTTCCAAAGTCATCCTGCAGACTACCACCTAATGCTGCCTAGCTAGATTTCTGATACTACCTTGCAGTTTCCAATCTTTGTCATGGTCCTTCATGGTCTGTTTGCTGTTTTGGGTTTATGCTGGGTTGGGCAGATCTTGGTATGACCAGATCCAGGGTTCACTCTCCACCAGATTTTATGCCTCCTTTAACTGGTAATCTGGCTCCTCCGTGTCTCCTGTGGTGACACAAGCTTTCAAGTGTAACACCTTCATTGCCATGTGTCCCATTTGTCCCCTGCCTTAAGAGCAGCTCCACCTCCAGTGTCCCCTAACTGTCTCTGTCAAACTGGTCTTCTCCTCCTGAAATCCTTGATCAAGAAACTCTCAATTTCAACTCACCTGCCTCTTCACCTTCCTACGACTCTGTCCCCCTGCAAGTATCTCTTCCAGACCAACCAAGTAGGCAGTCAAATTCACTCTAAACAACACTCTCTGGAGCTATTCTGTGGATTATCCAAGGCTAACTCTCTCAGTGACTCAGTGACAGGTCCTCCTACCTGCTTTGTTTTGTCAGGAATCCGTGTGTTTACCTCCCCTTTCAACTTCTCACTTACTTTAACTCAATAAACCTGTTGAACTTTAGACTTGTCAGTGTTGGGTCCTGTTTTGCAGCCTTGTTAGCTGTATTGCCAATTTAGCATATGACGCCTTCTACAAAAATCAACCTCTGTGCACCTTTCTCCACTCTTATACGTCACCTTTTGTTTTGTTTTTTTCTTAAAGCATGTGATCACCACTACTACCTGCTCTTCTGCAATTCCTTACATCATACTTTCCCAACACCTCATCAGCTCCCTACTCTTCACATACATTTCTACTGAGGTCTAATCACTACTGTCTCATCTCTGGGATACTCTCTACAGGTTGTTGAATATATTCTAAAATTTCAATGATAACATTCAACGTCACTCCTTCGATCTAGTTTCAAACTCATGATAGTGTCTGACACTCTTGACCTCCACAACACCACTTGTGGGCTGACAAGACAGCTGAACTTTTTGAAAAGTTTGTGTCCCGTTACTTCTGGCATGAGAGTAAAACAGGAAGCCATAAAAAGACCAACAGTCAAACGTGGTGGTAGTAGAGTGAGGATCTGAATGACTTTCTGTAATTGATGGAATCTTGAATTCTGCTCTCAACCTAAAACTCTGAAGGAGAATTTCCTGTCCTGAAGCTTAGCACACTCGGATTATGTATCAATACAAGGGTTTGAAACACATTAGCATAACACATAAGTCCACCTCTGAATGGTTTAGAAACACAAAATGAAGGTCCTGAATTCTATTGTTGCATAGAACTTCTGAGCCCAGGTGCAGAATCGGATGCCCTCATGGTGGAGGGTTGCCTTGATGACCATGATATTGACAGAGGGGGTAGCCTCTTGGATGACATGGATGAAGCGCTGGCCTCAGAGAGTGGCTTGCTGCTAGAGGCAGGACCCAGCGATCTCTGTGACATGCACGACCCTGACCTAGATGAGTCCAACCGAGCCATCAGGTACTCACAGAACAATTACACACAAAGAAAAATATATAGTACTGAGATGTTTCTGAGGCTGTGTTTTTTTTCGTGCCCCTTAAAGCCCCTCCACCAGCAACAACATTCCTTTGATGCGAGTCGTCCAGTCTGTCAAACACACAAAGAGGAAGAGCAGCAATGTGATGAAAGAGGGCTGGATGGTCCACTACACCAGCAAGGACACTCTGGTACATCTTTCTTTTTATGTTTAACAGTCTATTTACCTCACCAAATTTGTGTTGTGGATGTTGTCTTACATGAAGCAAACAGCTAGCGCCCTCAGGGTTTTTTGTTTGTTTGTTTTGTTTTCGTTCTGTTCACTGGTTCGGATGTTATCAGGCTTTGCCTCAGTCTTAGCTTTGTCATCTACTCCTTTAATTTCACCGATTCCTCTGTCTTTGTGACATGAAACAGTGGCTTCTCAGTCTAATGATTAGTCAATCAGCACCCTGGGGAGAATTCGTGTAATTGTTAAAATTTTTCCCAATTACTTAAAGATGGTACACTTTAGAATTATAATTTAATTCATAATTAAATTATAAAAAAAAGACCTGAACCATGTGGAAAAACACAGTTTATTCTCATTACATTTCAAGAACAAGCAAAGAATCCAGTTGTGATGCTGTTTCTGAAGTCTTTGAGTGAAGGATAAGAGGACTCAGAAACAGGACAGAACGCGTTGCAGATATTTCACTATTTGTAATCAAAGTGCTGCTTCCAACTTGGTTTGACACATTATTATAAATATACACTTTGAATCGTACAAAGATTGTCTTAAGTGTTTGTGCTTCTTCCTATTTAAATAACGGAGATGGTAGGAAATATCGAAGAAACAAATAGTGAGAAATAATAAATGTTAAACTCATTCCTAATAGAAGCAAGAGTTATTTCTGAGAAAACTGCCACTTGTGGTTTGAGGATGTGTTGCTGTTCTGAAATTCTTCAGAGTGTTAAAAACAAGTTGAGAGGCATTTACAGGTTGTCATTGTTTGTCTGCTTCATACTTATTTGCTCTCTTTTCTTTCCTCAGTTGTTTTGCTCTTTAATGTCACTCTTTTTTCTTTGTGGTATTCCCTTATTTTTCTTCCTCTTCTCTCTTCCAATGTTTCAGAGGAAAAGACATTACTGGAGGCTAGACAGTAAATGCATTACGCTGTTTCAGAACGACACAGGAAGTAAATATTACAAGGTAAGACCACTACCTTCCAGCAGTTTATTTGTTGCTGCAAAGTCATCACTGCAGGTGTGCCTGTCTTTTAAAGACTAACTGCTAAGTTTACAGTAGTAGTCTTTTTTGAACTTGAGTCTGCTGAGAGAGGCCTGATATACCTATTCTACTTTCTAAACTCAGCAGTCTGAGAGCAATGTGATCTACTGGTATGAGATATATGTTAATTCATATTTGAATGTAAATTACTTGCAACACAGCACACCCCTCAACTACAGATTCAGGAGGTACATCATTTATGGTGTACTGGTGCTGATACTGTAAACTGTATTCCACCCAGACCCCTTTACTTCATCCTCTCTGCAGGAAATCCCTCTGTCTGAAATCTTGTCTCTGGAGCCTGCTCAGAATTTTTCTCTACTTCCTGATGGAGCCAATCCTCATTGCTTTGAGATCGCCACGGCATCACTGGTTTATTATGTTGGAGAGAACCTGCAGAGACCTGAATCATCTGTGACAGGCAGCAGCATTCTGGTGAGATGCAGATTTAATCTGATATGATGCAAGATAGGTTCTCTAAGATCATAATTAGATTTGATATTATTGATAGATTTGATATCATCCTTAATGTGCTTGCATGATATCATGCAAACACTTTAAGGAGAAATGTTTTTCAACAAAGTCTTAAATCGGATACGTCAGAGCTGGCAAAATCAAGACATTTGTCACATTTGTTTTTCAAAATTTTGAAAAACTCACATTTACATGAAAGATTTAAATTCACAGTTGATCAAATGTCACTGAGTACTCCTTACTAAAATCTCTTTTTCTCCAACTCTGTTCTTTCTTACATCTTTCTTCATTCAGTTCAGTTCAGTTCAAATGTGATGATTATTTGCAGCTAGCAGGTTGTAGCCATCAGTAATAGTAATAAATCACACAGCAATAGTACATCGAAGATACTGAAGTGGGACATAACTACCATAGCTATGGTAGCTACCATAACTCGAACAAGGTAGTTGCAGTAGGCTAATGTTAGTTTTTAAATAAAGAACTTACTTCCAGATGTTTCTTTAGGTTGGAGTCTTTTGATGCTGAGAGCAGCTTGGTTGCTGGCAAACAAAGTTTGCATTGCAAGGTCAGATTTTGCCCATCCCATTCTTCTCATGAAGTGGTGTCAGAATTTCCAAGTAAGAAATGCCTTCCTGCCCGTTCACTGCTGGCTCTGTTGTGCTGGCTCTGGGTTCATTGTGTAACTGACACCACCAACATTAACTGGACGCTCACATTAGAGCCTCTTATTGTGTGCTTTGTTTGGGTTTCCGGCAATGTGTGGAATTACCAAAATTAGAGAGGGGATAGCATAACATATGAAACAGGAAAAGATTGCCGTGTAATCCGTTTATTTCAACAAAGTAACTGTATTCTAATTATCACCTATTTAAGCAGTAACTGTAACAGAATACAGTTGCTCATATTTTGTATTTTAAATACGTAACGCCGGTACATGTATTCTGTTACTCCCCAACACTGGTGACATGAAATAATAACACCCCTCAAATGCAATCATGTTAAGAAAGATATTTGAGAGATATTGGTGTAAAAATTATGGGGGTGAAAGTTTAAAAAATGTCAGCTATAAAAATATTAAACTAAAAGACAGAAATCGAAAAAGTGACGTTTCCCCTCTGTGGTACATGGATTACAGTCTTCTTCTACCATTCATACTTAGTTATTTCTGCAATGAGAAATACTTTCAAGTTAAAATTTTACATAACTTACTTTAAAAAAAATCAGAAACTACTAATATTTTTAAAGTTTGTTTAAAGTGATGAAGTGCGATTTTAAAAATCTTTTCAGATAAAGTTAGATCAAAGTACAGTACTAATAATTCCTATATGTCTCATTCAGGATTCAGACTGCTCTAAAGACTTGTTTTTTAAACTCTTTGCATTTGTGAATTTATGTTTTTCTGATAGGAACTAAATAACTAAATATTTAAAATAAATATATAAAAACAAAAGACAAAATAAAAGCATGAATTCTCCATTCAATTAGCCATGAGGGCTCCCCCTGTCTTCCTCTGTGGCCGAGTACAAGCCCCTTAACCCCAGAAATGGGCCCACTGAAGGTTGCCAGGGATTGGCAGATGCAAGTGGACTTGGATCCCACAGAGATCGTAGCACCTACTCTGCGACCAGACCTCGTCCTTTGGTCTAACTCCCAAAAACTTGCGTATGTCATTGAGCTGACGGTACCATGGGAGGAAGCAATTGAGGAAACATTTGTGCGTAAGAAGCTGTGGTATGCCAACTTGGCAGCTGAGGCAGAGGACAGAGGCTGGAAGATCAAGGTGCGCCCGGTGGAAGTGGGATGCAGGGGCTTTGTTGCCAGTCCAACAGCAAAACTGCTTAGAGAGATTGGGATCAGAGGACAGGCGCAATGGCAGGCTATAAGAGAATTGGCTAACACTGCTGAGAGGACCAGTCACTGGCTATGGCTAAAAAGTAGGGGTGGGTTTTAATAATCGATTCATCGATTAAAATCGATTCTGGCTTGGATAACGTGATATCGATTCATTAAAATCCTGAATCGATTTTTTAATATAAATGTATTTTGCCCGAAATTCCAGAATCTCAGGTGAAACGTCACAAAATTTTGACAACCACCAAACAGCTAAAACAGTAAATGAGAGCAGGTACACGGCTTCTGCACAAAGACGTAAACACAAAGCGCGGACCCGCGGATCAGAATCAGTGAGATGTGACTTTCTCATCCGACGGCACGGACACGGTCGGGGCTGAAAGCCAACAGCTCGCTGATTCTGATGTTTCGGCTGGTCCGCGCTTTGTGTTCGCGCCCTTTTTGCGCTGATTCTAAAGCTGTTAGTTTTATCTCTCTCCAAACAATATTGACCAAACCAGCAGCAAAAGAAGATCCAAACTACGCTTCACATCAACATCGTCATGAATTCACTCTTACTTTTGCTGTTTTGCTTCCACCACAATAAAATCACACTTCATGCACAGCTCTCTCTCTCTCTCAGTGTACTTCAAGAACAGTTTCCCGTCTATCCCCGAAATCTGTTTTCTGCATTATTCGCTTGCTTGTTACGCACAAGACTACCGTTATTTACAGCGCTGTCGGCTGATGTTTTTTTCCCTTTTACTTACTTCCGAAAAGAAAACCTAATTTCTGCCGTTCAATAGGCTTCTGAACTTTTTAAAATTATGCAAAATGCAAAACGCTCAGCTGTGTCTGTAATAAAACCGCTGTAACTTCAGAGGTAATGTTCATGTGCTGGTTAATGGTTTTCTTTGGTTTTTGATGTACTGTGGAATATTTTTATAAAATCCCAGGCCAGGAAAATCACCTTCATGTTTTTCTGTGTTTTATCTTCAGCTACTTTGACACAAAGGCATCTGCTGTCATGCTCACACCTTTGATAAAGTCTCGAAAGTGTCAGCTTCCTTTTTATAGATACAAAAATATGTAAATGTACTGATCTGAATTATAATATTTCTGACTGTCTGAGGCAAAATTTCCCAGATTCAAATCCAATTGAATCGAATCGTGGATCGAATCGATTCAGGACCTTGTGAATCGGAATCGAATCGATTCTAGAAATCAGTGACGATACCCAGCCCTACTAAAAAGGGCTGCCTTGGGTAGCTAAGGCAGTCAGCTAACCGCGAGACACAAGCCCAGGATTTATCAACCCGTGGTGTGCCTACCTCAACAGGGGGCGTCAAAAGGGTAAAATATAACATTAGAAATTTTGCTGGTTGACTGATAAAGCTGTCTCAGAGCCTCCTGGGGACTGTGCAGTTAACCTCATGGTAGTAAAACCAAAAGGAGGAATGAAAGAAAAGAAAAATATTCTGCTCTTCTCCCCTCTGCTCTTCCTCCCAGTGGGGAGGTAAAGCGTACAGCCCGATCTGGCAGGGAGGTGTGGGAAGCCAGATTGGGCGCCCCCCTTCCGGCTATCCTCTCTGCTCTCTCCTATCTTGTCCCTTTTTGTCTTACTTCTCTCTATCACCTTTTCTATCCCTTTGAAGAAGTGAGGCTCCATAAATGTTAAAGAGGTAAGTATTATTTCTCAGTTTCAGTGATGAGATAGAAGAAAATAAACTGTAGAAAACTAAACAGAAGAAAGAAGAAGAAAAATAACAAAAACCAGTGACACACTGGCAGGGCCTTCTTAGATGAGGGTGCCTAGTGATAAGGGCCGAAACACCCAATGAATCTAAGGTCCACTATAAGATCCCTAATCCCTAAACCTAACCAAGGAAGAAAAAAATGGCAGATTAGCCTGGGTAAAAGACTGAAAGCTCAGGCACACAACGCTGTATGCCGCTGATAAAGTTTCTGAGCTGCCTTTCCTCATAACAGCCAAGATTTTCTCCATTTGAAGCAATGTATTATCAGGGATTGTAACATCTAGTCCTTTTACTGAATCAAATTGTGAGTACCAGAATTGTGATTTCAGGTCAGCGGTGTTGGGCAGGATGTGGCTCGAATGTGGGAAATGGCCATCCAGCATGCTCTGATGCCAGCGGTTTCTACAGGAATTTGCCACAGTTCCCACCGCAGTGGACACAGTACGTTGTTGTAATATTATTGGCCTGTTAATATTACATGTATAAGTTAGCATTTTTTGAAGATTTTTTCTTTCTATCTTTTTAACAAAAAGCTTAAAGGGAGTTCAAATAAAAATGTGCTGTTACAACCACTTGATTTCAACAAATTAAGTGATGAACTAGTAGCAGACAATCTCAGCCACTCATTGAAAAAATGAGTTGAAGTCTCAAAGCTGTATACATGTACAGGGTCACACCTATCTCAACCACATTAAAGTATTTCCAGCACAGTTTTCACTTTGTCTCCAGCCAGAGACTATTTGGAACAGATAAATCACAAATTCAATGTATGATTTCTTTCAACTCAAGTATTTGTATCCATGTTGCTACTGAATTCTCCCAGAGAGTCTCAGATCCATTCAGGGCCAACAACACCCACACAAAACCCATCAGAGATATTTCAGGCATTTCACTGACGTCAAACCATCATGACTAACACTTCAGTGTGGTCGTAGTACCTTTTATGATTAAAGAAATGTGTCTCAACTAGCAGATTGCTAACTGGTTCACATTTATCACATATTTATTTCTAATGCACACCAGAAGTGTGGCTTAGAGTAAACAAGTTAATATCCTTTTACAGATGCCCTGTTTTTATTGTTTTTGCTTCACAGAGAGATGTGCATCCGCTGAAATCTGTCCTTCTGATGTTGATGAAAAAAAATCTCATTTCAACTGAAAGACTGTGTTTCACAATGTATATTATCTCAGATGCTTTTTTAATCATACAAAATCACAACAACAGTCAACTTCACATTGATAGGTAAAGACCTCAGAATAACAGGAGGATGCTAATTCACTGTTTTTTGTTATCCTGTTTTTTTTTTATTCTAATCTTACTTGTGTCTCTCATTAACAGAGGAGATTTCAATCAGTATTTCAGTTTCCAACTGCCAGATCCAGGAGAATGTGGTAAGAGAAAAAATACAAATACACACACACACACATTTTTGGATTGCTTTTGCATAAAGTCTGTGGCTCCATAATGTAGTGGATAACATATTTGCTTGTTAAGCCAAAGCTTTGTGGTTTGAGTCCAGCTGGAAAGCCAGATCAGGAAGTAAGGCCATCCATTGCAGTGATGACCCCTTGTAACAAGGGTGTAGCTTAAGGAAGCTTCTTCTTCGTGCACCATATTACAAGGTTTAATTCTCTTGTAAAGTGTTTTCTGGCATTTGAGGACAAAATGAAATCGCTATGCGAATAAAAACTGTTCAGTGGAATTTCTTAAAATTTGGTTCACACATTCATGCACCCATGACATCGACGACATCAAAATACCAAGAGCCTCTAAAACTACTGACATGGCCGTCTATCTCCATGTCACCCGCTGGTTAGTAAAGTCCTTATGTTATATCATGAAGCCTTGTGCTGAGCATTTTCACCTTTGCTGTCTTGGTGTTTTGAGACTTGAGGGTAATGACTTTTCTCTGACAATTTCTTAACCAATGAGGATTCCTTAACTAATCTCAAACTAGCCTATAAAACCATCAGGAAAGTGATGTCACAAAGTAAGGGAGCCAACCAATTTTTATTTGAGATCAAAGTAATAAAGCTGAGAAACACTGAATTGCAGAATGTCACTGGCAAATAAACTTCCTTGCAGATACCTGCTCTGTAAATAAGAGTTAAAGAAAGTGACAGTGTTCTTTCAAGATCTACAAGTTCACAGGGCAAACAAAGCATGTCACAATCTTCATCAGGCAAGAGTGCATATTGTGTTTTTCTCTCATTTTAAATGAGACACTGACTTGCTTTGACTGAACCTTTGAGACATTTTTGCACCGAGGTTTCACCCGACCTTCCACTAACGGTCAGTCAGTTAAGTCATGTGGTAGGATGTGTCCCCCTAGGCATGATGATATTGGACAGCTAATGTTTTACATGGATGACCCAAACCTGAATTAGATGTTACATCAGCACCATGCTTTCATTCATGCTTTATTTCCTGGCACTCCAACTGACACTGCACTCAAACCAGCATCAGGACATGTTGTTTGTATACCCACACTTATAAACAGAGTCCCCATCTTCAACCTCTGACAGACAACACAACATCCTGTTCATACTCAAATCACCTCCATCCAGTTCTTTTTTTTCCTGCTTTCTGTCACTTTCTTCTTAATTTGCATTTGAAGACTTCTGGGTCATGTTGCAGAGATTCCCAGAGCGTGTCACTATGCTTGAAACACTACATTTACATCAAAAAGATTTACATCAGGCTCCAATATCTGCAAATTCTATTCATTTTTCTATTCATTGCATTGCATATAAATGCAACTGCAGAGAACATCAAGTCCCATTTCTATGCAGACGTGCACCTCGCCGTCTCCAAGGTGAGCACGTCTTCAAACACCTCAAATGGAGATTACTGTGATTACTCACTCAGCCAAACGGTTTCCATGGTGACGATGGTAATTACGCAGTGAGCTCGGGGAAGGGGGAGGAAGTTTATAATATTGTATTTCTGTTCTCTTTGCTTGAGGTGTGATATTAGGCTGTCAGCTAACAGGGGAGAAAAAGGAGACGTAATTACAGACAAATGAAGGAGAAAATATTTTGCAGCTTTGGTGTCAAAGCTGTGGAGGATCACTGACGTTGTGTAGTTACACTGAGAGAGGTGCACAGTAGGCTTTCTCTACCAAAAAATTAATTCCGGAAATCTTCTCTGCCAGGTGATGAATTGATGCATTCACTTTTTTTGTTGTTGAACCCACTTTCTGTGAGCCTCCCTTGCTTTCCTTCATTGCAGTTTTCCATTCAAGGAACTTAACCATGACCTGAAACTTTAATTACAGAAACTTGCAGTTTCAGGCTATTTTAAACCCGAGAAAGGTATGTTTTATGGCCCAGAGTGCATAAGAATGTTTTACAACTTGTTGTCATAGACTTTATATAAAAAAGGACCTACGGTGTCTCCTGTGTGTGAAAATGTAAGTCAAGTCAAGTTAATGTTTATTTCTGTAGCACACGTAAAACAAAAAACTTAATAGAGAAAAGTACTATACAAGCTATACAAATGATGACTAAATTAGCAACAAATATGTGCTAAAATACACAGTCTCAGTAAGACATAATCAAAACAACAAACAGGGTTTACACAGTAAAAGCTATGATATACAGCTTAGCTAGAGCTGAAAGCCAAAGAGAATACGTAGGTTTTTAACCACATTTTACAAATCACAGGGTGACTGGGTTAGCTCTTACGTGCAATGGTAGGTGGTTCCAAAGATTAGAGGCTGACACCAAAAACGCTCTGTCACCTCTATTTAAGCCTGGCTCAGAGAACATCCAACTTAGTTGGTCTGTAGACCTAAATGCTGTGGTGTAGGGCTATAAATGTTTAGTTAAGTTGGGTGGGACCAGTTCATTGAGACTGAGACATTGTTTCTTTCCCAGTAGGTGGGGGGGGAAACTTCTCAATTTTAAAATGAGTTGTATTGGCACTTAATTTGATCTATGACCTCAGGAAACAACGAGGAGAATGAGGTTATGGTCTCAATCAGTAGTTTCAAGATTTTTATTTTTTATCATCTTTTTATTATTAGTCTTTTGTAGGTTGTGGTCCCCGTTATAGTCAAACAGAATCCCAAAGAAGGTCATGCTTCAGGATGGACCTATTCTGTATTCCAATTGGTAAAAGTCACTTGTGATGTTAACACCAGAGCACCTCAGTAAAAGCACCAATGGGTGACGTCATAGCGGACGGTGTTTGCTCTGCTAACTTGACTAAAGGATTTTTTTTTAGTTTCCATCTTCTCATTTTGGATCTGCATATGTTATGCTTGGTTTCAAAACATCTGCCATCGCCCAACAAGCATTTCCTAATGCGTCCATTTGTAAAAAGACTGAGGACAAAACATTAAACTTCAGTTCCATCCTCAGGGTGGCATGCCCCTGCAACCAGCTCTTTTATCTCCATGGGCTCATAGATTTGGACACCCTGAACTTCAGCCTCTCCCTGCATCCATTATCCTTTGGCAGGGGGTTTAGGCTTCGCTACACTGGTCTCAGTCATTTATTTCACTTTCATTTGACCCTTTTCTTGGACCCCATCTGATGATTTATGAATTGCTACTCAGACTGTGTTTTGTGTTTTCCAGGACATCAACTCAGTGTATCAAATCTTCCCAGACGAGGTTCTTGGCTCAGGACAGTTTGGCATTGTGTATGGAGGTAAAACCTGAATTTGAGACACGCTGTCATTGCACCAAATGCATAATGTTTTCTTTTTCAGCACAAAAAAATTTATCTTCTATTTCCAATACATGTAAATGTATTTTTTAAAATTCTGTGACTTTATTCTCCTGTGGAACGCATTCTTCATCTATGAGACTCTGCACAGCTAAAAACACAGGAAATATTACTTGGTTTTAACTTAGAGAGAGAGACAAAAAATCAGTTGGGCAACATGAAACTTAATCACAATTCGTTTTTGTTGTTTCAGAAAAAGGTTTTGTAAAACGTGCCACAAAGAGCCCGATTCATTAAGATGAAATGTAACCTCTGTGAAACACAGTGCAGGGAAAAAGTTCAGTGATTTTGTTTGTCGACATAAAACTGCAAAAAAATTGGAAATTTCATCTGTGGTGCCCGATGTTTAAAAAGTTCAATAATCCTGAGAAATATCTTTAAGCATGGGATAAGATCAGGGAGTAATTGTGACCGCCAGGTCCACATGCAACAAAAAGACACGATTCTGTAGTAGAAATCACTGCAGCTTTATCTCAGGGCACCAGCTTCACTTACTACAGTTATTTAATTCTGCTCTCTTCTTCCAATCCAGTATCACAGAAAAATTATACGCACACACACAAGCACACAAGCTCAAAACTCCTTAGCTGAGGCTTGGCTGTCGTTGTGTTTGCCAACACCATACCCATATCACAGATATGTGGTTAGATTTTGAGGATACTAAAAGTAAGACCATAAGGATGTAGAACTTTCTGTATTCACAGTGGTGCTTAAACACATATGTTAATAATGATTATGTTGGTAAAGAAAAGCTCCCATTAAAAGGGGATCCTGGAGGACACAAGGTAAGATAAACTTTGGAAACATTCTTCAGATGTCAAAGTTTACCTAACCAACGCTCCAGAAATCGAGAATATTGAAGAATATTACATTTACAGTGTTTAAACCCATGAAAACCAATTCTCACATTCAGGTTCTTCAACTTGTTGCTTTGATTACATTCTGGAACAGCTGAGTGTGTTTGTGACTCAGATTGGGGTTTTATTCCACGCAGGTAAGCACAGGAAGTCCGGCCGAGACGTTGCCATCAAAATCATCGACAAACTCCGCTTCCCCACCAAACAGGAGAGTCAGCTGCGCAATGAGGTGGCCATCCTGCAGGTAAACACACACACACACACACACACACATCCATGCTGCTCAGGATACTGTTGGCAGGGAGTAAAAGTTCCTGTTGTGAACCGTGGCAACACTGTAGGGGTGTGACATCTGAAAATATTCCTGCTCTGCCGCCGCTGCTGCTACACACACCTGCACATAAAACACACTTGAGTTCACCTCAGCTGATATCTGTTCTGCTTGGCTGCTCAGCAGACTGGAGCTGTTTGGGAAATGGCTTCCTGCTACCTTTGGGGTCCATATCAGCTTTTTTGGCATTTTATTTGAATGATTGTTGTAGCCGTTAGGGAAATGGGTGAGGATGCTTTCGGATCTTTGAATCTTTAATCATTAATATCGTTTCTATAAGAGGCAAAGTACAGTGGATACAATTTTACGTTCTTCATATTAGAGAGAGAGTTGTGGTCAGTGTACACTGGCACATTTACTTAAGCTTATTGTATAAAGTCATATCATGTTCACCCAAAACAGATTTATCCTCGCTGAAGTGACATAAAGTAATGTCTATGAGCTTGGAACAACCAGAGCTCTTCACAGATTGGTTGGATGGGATCGTTGAACCAAACAAGCACGCTCATTTATACAACTGCAGCGTCTACATAAACCACCCACACATATTACAGTATGACAGTGTTTTTTTCAAAATATAAGCCGTGGCATTCCTTTATATAAACACTCTCAGAACTGCGTGTTTCATGCCTTTCACTTAGCCAAGTCATGCCAGCACTGCTTAAGTTCAACATCCTGGTGCTATACCCATCCTGCTCTCTCTTCTTCATCTTATGAGCATCATGTTTTTGCTTTGGTTTGCTAAATATAAATTATAATGTGAGCCAGGACAGGAAGTACAAGTAAAGAAGTAATATATTTGCCACCGTACCTCCCAGGGAGAGAAGCAGGCACACTTGTTCTTGATCAAATACATCTATGATAACACGATATTATGCTCTCTGTTTCCCAAAAATGACAACATAAAAGCCATAATAATTTAAATATTAGTTTATTGAAAGTGAAAATAGCAAAAACAGCGCTATCCATCCTCCGAGGCCATTAAAAATACTCACAAGTGCCATCGTGATTGTTAATATTCCATATCAGTGGCTTATTGCAAACCAGTCAGTGCATTCAAAGCAATGGTGGGAAACCTTGCATCTGTGGGATTAGGGACTTCGACATGTATTTCCCACGTTTGAAGCACGCTGTCCCTGTTTCGCAGTCATCTATTGCAGAGCAGAAGTTGCATCTCTTTCCCTTCTGTCTCCTTGTGTTGGCTTCTTGTGTGACGTGTTGATCAGGGCCAGGCTCAGATTGCTGTGCTGCCATTGCCACTGCTGCTAAAGCTCCCACGCAGGGAAGATGGTGTCATTTTTGCATGCAAAGAGTCATGAGGGCCTTTGACATAAATGTTTCCTTTGCTGCCTCAGAGCTATCTTCATCGTTCATCTTGGAAGATTAGGTGAAGCGTTTTTTGAACAGAAAATCTTGATGTTATAACTTTCCCACTCTTAAATTCACAGCTCAGATGAATTTATTTTATACTAATATTTACTTATATGTAAAACCCCTCATTAGATCTCTGTTTTAATCTCAGATTAGGATAAAAGACTGTAACGTGTTAGATTATTTTGTTACATATTGTGTTTGTGTCATGGCAGTCTCTGACGTCTGACTTCTGTTCCTCATGTGCATCATATGTGATCAGTCCTGTGCTGTTTTACTATTTCACTGTTTTGAGACTCACCCATAACACTTCAAAGACCTTTAGGTGCCTGTCATTGGAACCTAGACACATGCAGTGAGAACACAGACAGTTCTTGTGACAGTGTCAGGGTAACTCTTGAAGTCTGTTATCACTGTCCCTTAAAAATGTTACAAAGACATGGCATGTACAGTTTTCAGAGTTTCAAGAATCCTCAAACTCGTTGATTTTCGTTCAGTCAAACTGAAACAGCCTCAGTGTACAAATATTTTTACCACCTTTAAAACTGTATAAAATGTTTCATTAATATCATATTTGAACTTTAAACCATCAAATTTCAGAATAAAAGAAGTACACCTAGTTCTTCTGGTGTCAAAAAACAAAACAGGTCCAATTTGTCCCAAAAAGCATGCAAGGGTTAAAATGAAGAAGAAGGTGCTTGTGTTGTTAAATTTAGATGTGGACATAACTCTATTCACAATTCATCTTAATCTGTATTCCAGTTTAATTAAACCATCACTGCATACAAATAACATAAATGCTAAAAAGTATGCAATTCATAGTAAATACTTAGGATTAAAGCATTTTTATTACCAAATATGGTAGGTTCACCTGAAGAAATCCAATTTTAAAAATCTTTAACTGAATCTCCCACCCAGGAGATTGTAAACTGTTCTTAAACTGTCTAAACTGATCTCTCTTGTCCTTTCAGAGCCTGCATCATCCAGGGGTGGTCAACCTGGACTGTATGTTTGAGACACCAGAGCGAGTGTTTGTGGTCATGGAGAAGCTTCATGGAGACATGTTGGAGATGATCCTGTCCAGTGAGAAAGGCCGACTTCCTGAGAGGATCACAAAGTTCCTGGTGACACAGGTGATACTTTGCCTCAATTATAACATCACCCTGTCTGACCCTAACTGTAAAAACAAAGTCACAAAGGTTTGGGTCCATAAATTTAGCCTTTGTTAAGAAAAATCCAGTGACAACATCCAGGACAAATGGTAAATGGATTGATTCTTATATAGCGCCTTTCTACTCTCCTGGAGTACTCAAAGCACTCTGTACAACGCCTTCGATGCTTGTTCCCTCCTGGGAACACGGTGGGTCTGAGCCCGCGCTGGAATGGTAGCGCTGGGCAGGATGGCTACTGTGTTTGCTGTGGATTACTCCTCACCCCCCACCCAACCCTGTGGCTTGTCACATGTTCCATAATGTTGTGCTGTGGACATTTATGTAATGCTAACGATCTCCGACCTGTATCCCCATGTGATGTCTGTGTTGTGTGTGTAAGGTCGGGGGGGGGGGGGAATCCTATTTCACTGCACGTGGCGAATAAAGCCTTGATTGATTGATTGATTGATTGACCCAATCACACCCATTCTCACCAGCACTTTCTCTGAACTTAGTGCTTTCTCAGTACATTTACACACATTCATACTCCGATAGATGCATCGGAGAGCAACTTTAGGTTAGTATCTTGCACAAGGATACTTGATATGCAGATTGGAGGAGCCAAGGATCGGACCACCAACCTTCCGATCAGTAGGTGACCTGCTCTACCTCCTGAGCTTAGAGTGTTTAATAATCATGTTACTGCTGATAGGAATTACTGGAAAAATTCTGATTGTATAGGTCTATAATCTCTGCTCACATTCAGCCAAATGTTGCAACACTGATCAGACACTTCACTGTGCACATGAACAATGGGTAAGAAAATGAATAGAACATAACTGAAGGCAGAGACTCGCAAACCAGCAGTAACTAAAGATGGATTCAGTAAAGGCCTGGCAGAGCATCTCAAAGGGAGGTTGTAAAGTTCAGACAGTAAGTGAGTCTCATTTGTGTTATGTTGCATTGTGCTTTTGTCAGTTATGTTTGTACTTTTGACTGGGGACTAAAATTGAAATTAAAACTGAATTGAATTGAATTACGGCCTGATCATAGTATTTTAGTGTTCCCCTTGCATAGATTTACTGCCTGACCGGTGCCATTAGCATTGAGTGTTTGACAAGAGGTCCAACATTATTATAGCAAATGCAATCTGTGTTTTTCTGTCTCACTGTCAGATCTTGGTGGCGTTGCGTCATCTCCACTTCAAGAACATTGTCCACTGTGATCTGAAACCTGAAAACGTCCTGCTGGCTTCTGCAGACTCTTTCCCCCAGGTAGTATGTTTATGTGCTTGGACAGTACCTGTTTTTCAAATGGAGATGTGTATCCACCCTAAGTTTAAGTATCTCGGGGTCTTGTTCACGAGTGAGGGAAATGGGAGATCAGCAGACAGATTGGGGCTGTGGCTGCAGTGATGTGGGTGTTGTACCAGTGCATCGTGGTGAAGGGAGAGCTGAGAGTATAAGCTCTGGATTTACCCGTTGATCTACGTTCTCACCCTCAACTATGCACACGAACTCTGGGTAATGACCAGAACAACAAGATCATGGATACAAGCTGCCTCTCCCTTAAAGAGCTTCGCAATCAGCGATGGGGTTAGAGTAGACTCGCTACTCCTCTACATCGAAAGGAGCCAGTTGATTAAAGTGTTTGTGACGAAGTTTTCGGTGGAAAAATGCAAGCGCTTCCAAAAGAAGTCAGTTGATTGGATGGGTTATTTGTCAGTTATCCTAGGTAAACCTCAAACAATCAGATCAACAGAGCAAGCATGTTCTGAACCTGAACTTGCTGAAGCCAGTTGGGAAAGCAAGGCACAAAGCGTATCTTTCAGGCATTGTATGGTGGACTGAAATGGAGTATTACTATCTTAATGTTTTAAACATTAAACCCAATATCCTCATCAGCACTCACTGTTTTTCTCAATTCAGCTGCTGGCGTGTTGCTGCAGGTGCTCTATCATGATTCAGCCTTGGTTCTGCATATTATTCATGACAATATGTAATAGTAATAGAACTGCTCTGTCAAGTAGATGTTTTTGCTAAGGCTGAAGATGATATTTGTGAGACTGTTAAATAGATGTTGTGTTTCCACCCAGGTCCTGCACCGTTTAGATAATATTGACTACCTTTATTCAGGCTTATGCAAATAATCTGTTAAAGGTTTCAAATTCTCAGTTATTAATATCTTGTAACTTTTAGTATAGCTGTTTAAAAGTTGTGTCAGAATTCTTCTAATTTTATCTGAATTATCTACAGAAAAATTTGCATGTCTTGACAACACTGGCAAACAACAGTAGTAAAAAAAATGATGTGTGTTGAGTTCCGAGCTGCAGAAAGAGTGAAGTTATGCAGTGATAGAAACAGAAAATACAAAACACGCACACGTATTAGTATTTGTGGATGCAAGCAATAAAAGTTGGACATAGACACTCCATTAGCTGTCAGTGTAACTATTAGCAGCTTCCTTCAGTGTTCGGTCTTTAGAAATAGCTGTTAGTGTCAGACAGACTAACTGTTAACTCTAGTGATGCATCATTTAGCTGTTTGGCTCATAATTCCTCACATGATACTTAGTGTGTATCATCTGCACAGCCTGTTCCTCTGAAATATCATGAAACAAACAAAATGCAAATATCTGGCTCCGGTTGGAAGAGATGTGTTAACGTTCGCGTGTCAGCCGGTTGCCATAAACAAGTGAAATCAATAATTTTAAAGAATAATATGACTTTTATCAAAATCCTCTTTTTTATCTTTCTCAGAATCAGTTGAGGTAATTGGCATCAGATTTATGTCTGTGTTAGTAAAGAGAAAGTATGTAAACTAGTTTAATACGACTGGGAGAAAGAGAGATGTTGTTGGCATAGCTGAATAAAACTGTCAGTTACAGTTCTGTTTAGTCTATATAACTAATGTACACAGTTAGTTTGTGCTACAGGTAGCTAGAAAGCTAACAATATATTTAGCATATGTTAAGAAAGGAATATTAAGTAGGTCAAAAAGTTTGAACTCAAGTTTGATATTTTGAATCATATAGAGAGAAAACACATTCCTAGCCTGACAATGGAAAAATACTCACTCAGCTTTATTGTTATGACACAACATTTATGTGACAAATGAATACTATAGTAACTTCTCTGGTTCTACACTATAAAAGTGCAAGTCAGCAAATGTCAAAATGAAAGATTTACGTGTCTATGTAGCGCTTACCTTTATTTGAACGCTGAACAATTTCTTGTTCCACATGGCGGCATAATTTACCTATCCAGAAAAATGCACAAAGAATATTTAAAAATACATGTAATTGTCTGTACTTTGAAATAAAGTCGCTTGGGGGGGGGGGTATGGATCACAAGTCTGTAAAATTCATAGTTTCTCTGTATATTATTGTTTTTCCTCCACGGATAGATGATCCAAGACCTCCCAAAACATTTTTGTCCAGTTTTGTCTGTCATAATGGAGTAAATTTTTGTCAGCTAGAGAATAATAGTCAATTCAGTCAATAATGTGACTGAAAACTATGAACATATGATATTTCTTTTTTGGTGGGAAGTACTATAAGGTCATAAAACACGGTAAAATCACATTATTTATAGTTTGAAAAGCTCTAAAAATGAGGTAAACTACTACTAGAAGATCTGCTAGATCACTGTGGCTCTGTGACTACTGAGCTCTACTATGCTAAAAGTTATAAGTTAAGTTTTTATGTGTTATATTTAATATAGAAATAAATTAAAAACACAAGTATGACTTAGTTGATGCATCTGATGTATGCCTAAAAATAATTTGCATCACTTGAGATGGTTTCAGGTGACTAGAGCATCTCAAATTTCCAGGCATCAAATGTAATTTTTAGAAACCAAAACCAAGCAATGCATATGTAAACATTTAGTATAACTATTCATTCATATAATGTGCCAGTTTCATCAGCCTACCATTTTTAGTTATGACCACAGGTGTGGGAATAGGTTAGGGTGAAAAACTGAATTTCCTGAATTCTGGAAGAACACTAAAGTTTGAAAATGCTCTGCCCAGATGCTGATTGATGAGATGCAACAATGTCACTATATCACATAACCCAGGGGTCACCAACACGGTGCCCGCGGGCACCAGGTCGCCCGCAAGGACCACATGAGTCGCCCGCGGGCCTGTTCTAAAAATAGCTCACCATAACAACTTACCAGTAAGCTGCATCTATTTTTATTTTTTCTTGCTATTTTTTTTTTTATCACAATTGCATTGGCGTTAATTTGTTAGAGATAATATATAAAAAAAAGTTTATTATTAAATATTAGATCATGATCTAATATTTAGTGCTAGCTGGTCTCCACGGAAACAGTTGCCGTGAAGACCAGCAAAGGCAAAGGTGAGGAGATGAGGAAAACATGGCGGAAAAAAGGAAGAAAACATATAATTTTCACAGTGAATGGGAGGAAGAGTTCTTTTTTACCTCTGTGAAAGATTCATGCGTGTGTCTCATTTGCGGGGCAACTGTGGCAACGGCAAAGCGGCACAACGTGGAGAGACATTTCCGAACGTGTCACACAAGCTACCATGCTAACTATCCAAAGGGCAGCACACTGCGAGCGGAAAAGGCCCGCGAATTAAAGGCAGGTTTGAGCAAACAGCAGTCTTTTTTCACGAGACCGGTGAAAAACTCTCAAAAAGCAACCGAAGCCTCATTTAGAGCTACACATTTCATGATTAAGAAAAAGAAGGCATTTTTAGACGGGGAGTATTTCAAAGAAGCAATGATGATAATTGCAAAAACTGTGCTTAAAGACGAGAAATATGGAAACGATGTAATCTCCACTCTCTCTGATGTCCAGCTGGGGGCAACTACAATTGTTAGAAGAGTGTCGGCTATGTCCGGGAACTTGGCCGATCAGTTGGATCAGGATCTGGCAAAGTGCAGTTGGTTTAGTATCCAGTGTGACGAGTCCGTCGACAGCAGCAGTACAGCACAGCTGGTGGTCTTTATCCGGATGGTATTTGATGGTTTCTCCACAAAAGAAGAACTTCTGACACTACTGCCGCTAAAGACAACAACGAAGGGAGTTGACATCTATAACGCGGTGAAGGAGTTTTTCGCGAAGAAAAAGGTACCGTTGGAAAAGCTGGTATCAGTGACTACCGACGGGGCTCCTGCTATGATCGGCCGACATACGGGATTCATCGCTCACTGTAAAGGTGACACAGAGTTCCCAAACTTCATGCATTACCACTGCATCATTCACCAGCAGGCGTTATGCGCAAAGGTGATCGGCTTCGAGCACGTCATGACTCCCGTCGTGAAGATCATAAACAGCATCCGCTCCAGAGCTAAACCGCACAGAACATTCAAGGTGCTATTGGAGGAGCTGTCAGCTGAATATGGTGACCTGCTACTACATACGGAAATCCGATGGCTCAGCAGGGGACGGATTTTGCTTCGTTTTTTGTCACTTTTGGGTGAAATCAAGGAGTTCATGCAATCCAAAGGGGAAGACACATCTCTGCTGGAGGACACTGAGTGGACACTTGACCTTGCGTTTTTAACAGACATTACTGGGAAACTGAACCATTTGAACTGTGAGCTGCAAGGCAAAGGTAAGACTGTTGCTGACATGATTAGTGCTTTAAATGGATTTAAAGCCCAGATGAACATTTTCTCTGTGCATTTACAGAGAAAAAAGGTGCTGCACTTTCCCTCTGTGCAGATGGTGCTGAAAGACAATGCTTCTGCATCTGAGACTTTTGACAAAGTTGCAGAAAAGTACACTCAAGTCATAAACCGACTTGGTCAAGAGTTTGAGAACAGGTTTTGTGACCTTGATCAGCTTGAGCCATGTGTCTCATTTGTTTCCAATCCTTTCATGAATGTGGACACAACATGCATTGCTGAGCAACTAAGTTCAATGTTCAGCTTGGATGCTGGACAGGTGGAAATTGAAATTGTAACATTGCAAAATGACGTCCACCTCAAAGCCTATCTGGGTGCACCAAACTTTTGGTGCCTTGTTGACACAGAAAAGTACAGTGGTGTGTGCACAGCAGCTATGAAGGTTGCCAGCCTGTTTGGTTCAACCTATCTTTGTGAATAGGCCTTTTCTGACATGAACTTCATCAAGAACAAACACAGAACACGCCTCTCCGATGCACATCTGCAAGACTCACTCAGAGTTGCAGTGTCAAGTTATACCCCAGATTACAACACACTGGTGAACAGCATGCAATGCCAGGTTTCCCACTAACAGACAAAGAAAGCCATATTAGATGTTCTCAGTGGCAACATTACAGTGTCATGTCAAAGTTGAATTTAATTATTGAAAAACAAATGTGTTTGTTAAGTGTAACATGTGACAATTTGCTTTAAAATGCTGCCAATTTGGTGAAAAGTTCTGTAAAATTTGAAAGTTGATTTTTTGTATGTTACATGCATACAAAAATAATGTATGTAACAGTGCATGATTTGTTAAAATTTGTTAGTGGTAAGTGAAAATGTTGTAGAAGTGATCACTTCAAAATGTAAATACTTGCAGAGATATATAGAAATAAAGCGTTGCATATTGATATTTATGTTTCCTACCTTGTTTCCTAATTGCATTCTTTATAATTATGGTGAAAAATAATTAACATAATTAGTGTCCGTACATAGATGAATATCATTAATTATTAATGATAACACATAATTAAGTTAAACTGAGGAAATTTGTTATTTGAGAAGTGTGTGTCAAACTGGTAGCCCTTCACATTAATCGGTACCCAAGAAGTAGCTCTCACTTTCAAAAAGGTTGGTGACCCCTGACATAACCTGATAAATCCATGTGGTTCTACAACCTTACAGAGAGACAATTTTGATATCCACTGAAACCACCTTGTGTGGTTATTGCTCGATAAATAGTTATTGATTTTTCCTACATTAAGACTCCAAAACTAAGTCTCAGTATTTGAGTATCAGGATGTATCAGGATGGAGAGACAGCCCATGAAACAACTCGAAATACATTTAGACAACGATGTGAGATTGCATGTTTAGGTCTGCAAAAGAGAAATGATTCATCACAACCTTGAAAAGAGCCAACATATCCATAATAATTTCCATCTTCCTCCTGAGTGTGAGTGAATCATCCAGCAAGCTAACAGCCAACAGTTTTTTTTTTAACTTTTAGTAGCTTCGTTACACTTAGAATCAATCCACATGTCCATTTAAATACTAACACCAGGTTCTGGCTACATGATATTTCTTTCTGGCTAGATGGTTACTATGTTAGATCAGGTGGTTAAAGAGTAATAAATTCCTGTCCAAGACACTGATAAGCCTCACATTATAAAGACAAATGAATGTCAAATGTGTCACACTACACAGAAAAATTGACTGTTTTAGACATTTTTTGTGACAAACCCCATGTTTTTACTACATATCACTGCTATAGTCTAGTATTACCAGTCTGACAGTTGTGTAGGTTAAGACCATAGATATAATGCTGTGAAATGACCAGCCAGCTTTTACATTGTTTTACTTTTACCTCCACTACTAACAGCTTTAGTAATTTATATTGCTCCTGCTGCAGGTGAAGCTGTGTGATTTTGGGTTTGCTCGAATCATTGGTGAGAAGTCATTCAGGCGTTCAGTGGTCGGAACACCAGCATATCTTGCTCCTGAAGTTCTGAGAAATAAAGGCTACAACCGCTCTCTGGACATGTGGTCAGTTGGAGTCATCATCTATGTCAGGTAGGATGATACCTTTACTGATAAACATAATAGTCTGAGTAGATTTTGGTTTAAAATTGTATTCTTCTTTCTGCTTGTCTATTTCTGAGTTTTTCCTTTATCTCATCCTTCTCCTTTTTTAGTTGTGTTACTGTAAACACAATGTAACATCTATAGGATACTATCTATACTTTAATGAATTTCTATTATTATGAAAAGATTAGTGATAAATGTGCAAAAAACTAAAAGTATTTATGTTTTTGCAGTCTCAGTGGGACGTTCCCTTTCAATGAAGATGAAGATATTAATGATCAGATCCAGAATGCAGCCTTCATGTACCCCCCTCACCCCTGGAAAAAAATCTCCCAAGAAGGTGTGGCATGTTGCTGAGCCTCTCAACCAGAAGTCTACAAGACCTAAAGCTAACCCACAGAAAACCTACTTCATTCAAAAAAGATCTGACATGATGAGTAACATCTATTTGTGACATAATTGTCATATATATCTCTCCACAAAAATGTCCAAACTATCCTGGACGAGCCCCCATTTATGTTTTACGGCCTGGCTCAAGCCCTGTGTTTTCTTCTGCTTGTTACTGGTCCACCTGTGTTACCTCTGCGTGTCTTCCCTATGTTGCCTCAGCGTTATCTCTGTCAGCTTTCCCTGTTTCCCAGTTCCTCATCCCCCGGTTCTGCTCCACCCTCAGGTTACATGTTGTGCTTAGTTTTCCCAAGTTTAGGTGTTGTTAGTTTTCTCTGTTCCACCGGTTTGCAGTATTGTTCAGCCGAAGCCTCGCTGTCCGTTCAAAACATTCTCCTGCATCCGTGTCTGCATTTGGGTCCTCATTCTTCTATCATTCCACATGTCTGTTGCCGCAGCCATGACAAATATGGAGACTAATACCAGAATTTAAATGAGAAGAGGTTTTATTATTATATATAGCACCTTTTATTATTTATGTAACACATTAGCTAAAATAGCTGGTAATACTAAAACAGAGACTACTGTGCCTCCATGAAAGCCTGCCTCATATATGCCTTTATCCACACCTGACTAGGTGTGGTCAATTAGCAACAGCTGAACACTCCTTCACTACCACTTCAAAGAGATTAGGGGCTGCAGAGGGGCGCAACAAGCTAGGTTAATGCATGCATCACTAATAAAGAAGCCTATTCTTTCAGCCAGCAGAGGATAGCTTCCCTGGTTTCAAAGATGAGCTGAACATTGCTGGTGTCAGTTTCTTCTAAAGCATTTTTACTGGAATTATCTGAGAAAAATAGTTGCAAGGTTCAGACTGTCAAAGAAATCAGTGCTCTAGTTTTGGTATTTTATTAGCCTGTCATTAGCTTGTATGTTATGGACACTAGTTGCTAACAGAGCTTGCTAGCCTTAGCTTATGACATGGCACTCTGGAATCTTATCCAAATATAGGTCGTGTCCAAATTCATGGGCTGAGGACCCAGCCTTCGCGGTCTACGTGGGCCGGGTCGTCAGAAGGTCGGGTAGGCCGGAAGTAAACGGCTGGGGAAATTGGATGGTCTAGCCTTCTGATTAGTGTCACCGCTGTCTCGGTGGAGTTTAATAAACTCAGCTGTCTGCTCCTTGCTATCTAAAATATAACAGGACACTGGCGTAAATTCTCGACCGTCTCATACTTCTGTTTAATCAGTTTTCTATTTGACGTTTAGTCAGCTGTGTAAAAACCAAGGAGGGACCCACCCGGGGGATTAATAAAGTTTTATTTTATCTAATCTAATAACTTTAATCTCAGCCAAACCGATTTACTCACGAACAAACAAAACACTGAAAAAAGCCCAACAATAACATTTTTAGGTTTTCTAAGTGACTTAACCCGAGTAGCGAAAGTCCGCGGTGATCTGAAAATGATGTGCCGGGAGTTGTGCCGTTCTCGGCCGCATCAGTGACCCTCGAGCTCCCGGTTAGCTATCGAGCTGGTGGGTAGCAGACGTCTCCGAAAACGTCGAAGCACTTTTGCAAATATGCGATATCTTGATAAACCGAGCAGATATTTGATGTTTACACAGCTACTTTCTCGCCTAAAAAAATGTTAAAAGTTTATTTTGTGACCCAGAAAGATTAGTATGAGTAATTTTAAAACTTAGTAGCGGCCGCCATTGTTGGAAACTGGAGTTTGGCTGGGCCGCGCTATGAATTCTGGGATATGGTGGGCCACGAAGGACACACCCGACCCATCCTTCAAATTTGGGGAAAAGGTGGACGCATTTGTCGGCTGCATTCGGAGGAGTCTACGAATTTGGACAGCCTTCGGCGCGTCGCTGTGACGTAATCGGTCTACAAATGCGGCCTCAGGAGGATGCAGCCCATGAATTTGGACACGACCATAGTCACTTTTGACCAGTGTTGGGGAGTAACGGAATACATGTACCGCCGTTACGTATTTAAAATACAAAATATGAGTAACTGTATTCCGTTACAGTTACCGTTTAAAAAGGTGGTATTCAGAATACAGTTACTTTGTTGAAATAAATGGATTACACTGCGGTACTTTCCTGTTTCATATTGTGGTGGGTCAGGACTGTTTCGGTTTTGTTTGACAGCTACGTTCTGTAGTTCCAGGCGGCAGCGTTGCGGTTGCCATGGTTACAGGGTGACGCTCTCGCTCTGCGTGTTTCCTGGGTGAGAGAGCGCCTTTTTGTTGTTGTTGTTGTGCTAAGCTAATAGGCAGAATGCAGAATGTAGCATCATAGGCAGTGTAGTCCGTGCTGCAGGGAGAATGGACTGCCATACTCGTTATGTGTCTGTGAGCGCGAGGTGGGAGAAAAAGGAGAGTCGAAAGGTACGAGTTGTCATTGAGCAAAAACGGGAGCTAGAAGCATGTAAATATAATAATAACCACTGCAGCCAAGAAGAGTGCCTGACGAGCCCAGTTGTAAGTAAGCTATTAAGACTCGACTGTACGCTTTGTTCGTGTTTTCCTCCGAAACAATAAGTTCCGTTGGAGCAGCCTTTCAACACCTCTCTCTGTCTCTCGCAAGCAGAGTTGACCCAGACAACAAAGTAAAGCTATTTTTCGGCTACGAGCCCGACACGGAACCCATATTAGTCAGAGGTCCCTTTACTACGGTTCGGAGCCGCGGACCTTCAGTAATAGTAATAAATCACAGCAATAGTACATTCACGTAGTTGTAAAATGTAAGATAGTATGTTAAGTAATCCAAAGTATTCAGAATATGTTACTCTCATTGAGTAACGTAACGGAATACGTTACAGAATACATTTTAGGGCATGTATTCTGTATTCTGTAATGGAATACATTTTAAAAGTAACCTTCCCAACACTGCTTCTGACACTAAAACTAACAAAACAGCAGCCAAAGCATTAATACCAAAGCTTCAAAATTTAGAGACCAATACCTGTTTATTTCTATGTCTGGATTTTTAAATTAGAATATATTAAACAGGCAGATTCATGTCTGCGAGACTGACTGAAATGTTGAATGTGTGATCAAAGATGAATTGCTTGTTTCATCTTTCTGTATGACACCATGTATGACAGCATACAAGCAGAGGTAATTATGTTTTATGTTGCAGTATAATAACTCCAACATTTCCTTGAAATCAGTTCAAGCCATTCTCTGCTGCTGTATGACTCATGTTGTTGCCGTCATTGTCTCTAAATGTGTCTGCCGTGTGTGTTGGCTGGAATTGTCCTGTTGACTACGAGACAGATTTAAAATCGCCTGACTCACTCACTCCTAAACCGGATCCCCGAAGTGCTCTTAACCTTCCCTCCACCTCCTCATGCTGCCAGAATGACTTGAGCTGTGCTTCAAAATAAATACAAGCCATTTCTGTTGGCCACAGGAGGATTAAATGTCAGGGAATAAACTCTAAGTGCGCCAAGAAATGTGCGTTTGCAAAGATCAGTTTTAAATAAGACCCTTTTGCCTACAAGCATACACAATTCAAGTTTTTAAATGGAGATGAAATAAAGTTTTGAAAGTCTACCACATTTATGGTCATGCAGAGGTAGTCTTCCTCCCCCAGGAAAAAAGTATTTTGTTTTACCTTTAAAGGTATAATGGCACATCACTGTGCCATTATATACCAGCATTACCTTAGTGGTACCCTCTAAGGTATTGCCATTGAGCCCTTTATGGGGCAAAAACTTTGTATGCTTCTTTTTTGTAGCTGGTGGTGCAGTCATGAAACTCTGACTACAATTCTGCACCTTAATGAAGGGGACACTTGTTACCCATTCATTGATGAAGGTGCTACTCTTTAACTGCCATTACCTGAGACTCAATAAGATTGCATTAGCCAACCTTCTTGCACATCCCAAATAATACAAGTTGTTTTTAAAGCATGCTGGGGCTTCAGATGATATTATACTAGTACATTTATAAAATATAATTGATATAAAGAAGCAGCCAAAATTAACAGAAGTATACACTAATAACTTTTTTAATATCTGCAGCTTTTAATGATGATGCAATCATCATTTCTAAATCGTAAATTGCAAAGAGAAAAGACCGAGCTCTCTAGTAGCAGGTCTATTTGTGATAAACGGAAAAGAAAGACCAAAGACAGAGCACTGTGTTCACACATTAGTGCAAGGATATTTTGTACACTGCTCAAAAAAGTTAAGGGAACACTTGAGAATTACAATATAGCACAAAGTCTGGTAAACTTCAGGTATATGTATCTACCCAGTTAGAAGGCATAATCTATTGTGAACCTAGTTCACTTCCTTTGATCCAAATAAAAGCGATAAAGGATTCCTTGGAGAGGCAACAATAGGGAAAATATTAATTAAAGTTGATTTAATTATTGACAATTATTTAAATTGTTTGCATTTTACAATTCATTCATTTGTTTTAAAAAAATGTTTAATTCCTACATATGCATATCACACTACATGAGAGATATATGTTGTATAATTTATCATTTACAGTTATATACAGTTCATATCCTCTCTTTCACTGGGATTGCACTACTTCATATTTAGGTTTATTTAGGACCATAAATATTTGACACAGATTTTGTTATTCTCTGCACATCACCATAGAGTGCAGCTTTTAAATATTTAATTTAAGGCATTTAACAAAATGTTGCAGATATTATTTCAGGGATTATAGTTATTTTCATTTTAGCTATTTTATAGGGCTCAAAATGACAATCTAAGATAGCTTTAAACATGAGAATTGTTTTTAATACTGTGATGAAAAGCCTTTGCAGTCAGTGACTGATTGAAGTCTAGAGTCCATAGATATCAACAAATGTTGTTGCTCTTTTGAAATGCTCTACCAGGTCTGTCAGCAGAGTATCGGCCTTAACACTTCAGAAGTCATTCTGCTACTTTTATCAGGATTAACAAATACTAATGACCTAGTTCCAATGGCAGTTATACATGACCATGACATAGCATTGGCTCCACCATGTTTGACAGATGATCTGCTTGACGGCATGAGAAGTTCCTTTTCTTTTCCATACCTTTCTCTTTATATAATTCTGGTTAATCTTAGTTTCAAAACTTTTGATCTCTTTAATAGGATTTGTTTTTGTTTTGCTTTGTTTGTTTTGGGGCCCTTCTGACTTCTTTAAGTTTTGTGGAAAAAAGTCCAGTTGCTTTCTTTCCAACCTCCTTAGATATAACCATAACCTGGATGACTGAGAACTTTATAGATGTTTTTCCAAATGTCACCAAGAAATTCACACATCCATGCCCTTCTCTTCCCCACTGCCCTCTCCACTCTTCTCTGAACCCCTTGTCAACACAGGAATCAAATATTCTATATCTACATGACAGAATTTTCTGAAATCTATACTTTAGGTGGATTTGGCTTAAAAGTAAGGAAACAACTACATTTCAAAATAGGGTATGGATAGGGTATAAAAGGTGTCCCTGGGATGTCGATCTGGTCAAGTAATAACAATAAACTATTTCTCATTATTTATTCACAGTTGTATGTCTTTAAATCAGGTTTCTTGTGAGACTAAACACTGCAGTTCAATAACTGTTTAGAATGACTGTAAACTAACATTGTTATTCTTTGGCCTTTGGTTTGGATTATCCAAATTATGAGGTCATGAGACAGGTCTGGGAAACAGGAGAGAGCCAGTGCTGCTGAGGAGTTAAGGAGAGGTGAATGTATGTGGTAAAGAAACTTGAAGAACTAGGAGAGTCCATCAGTTTGTGGAATGATGATCTTAGGTTTGTAGGGGGGGTGGGTTCATATGGTAGTCAATTCATGTGCATAATACCAAGTGATGGAGGCCTCTGTAGACCTGAGGGGCCTTGGGGTCCCAGAGCTGTTCAGACCACTGACCCCTAAAGAGAGGTTAACATCATGTTAGCTTTGCTCATTAGCCCTGACTGGCCCATGACCATGGGTGGGCCTCAACCCCAAATTCTCCTCCTACTAATACTCTGCACTTCCATTCTCCCCCTGTGTTCCCTATGTTCTTTCTTTCTTACATTCTTGTATTCCTCCATGCAGCGATTGACCTGATCAACAACTTGCTGCAAGTGAAGATGAGAAAGAGATATAGTGTTGACAAGACACTAAGCCACCCCTGGTTGCAGGTAGGAAATCAGTCATTTGAATAACTCCATTAAAATCAATTTGGGAGCATTTTTCAAGTTCAATACAAATCTGTAACATAACAATCAAGAATCAGTCAATAATACATTTCAGATTAATATAGCATCATCCAAATCATATAAAGGGTTCACTTTATATGATTACTGTTTCAGTTAAGATTTAGAGCTTTCATTAACCCCATATGTGTAGCATGTAAAAACATTTTGGAGTTTTGGGAATTTTTTTCTTTTTGTTTACTTAACATCAGCAACCTTAATCCATCTTGTTTAACTAAACTTTATTGTCTGCAGGCAAAGTAAGTGGGGCCACATTAAGGTCACAGCTTCTGCAGTAATCAGGAAATGCTGTATTGTGAAAAGGATTTCATTCTGGTATAGCAACCCGACTAGACTTCTGACACACATGAAGTTCCAAACTGAATTAACTGAATGAGTTGAGAACATGTAATCTCACATTCTTTGAATGATATGTAGTGAATAAGAATTAAACATCTAGTTGTTGAATCACAATGCATTTCACTTTGGTATGGGATAAAAACCAGAGGCACAATTCCACAATAATGCTAATGCTGCATTTTATTTGCTATCTGTTAGATTTATATCTTATGTTGATGATAATCAGAAAATATAGTGTAGGTAAAAAAAACAAACAAACAATTTTTGTGTTTACAGCCAGTTTTGCTTCCCCCACTGAGCCAGAAAATCTGTTCATGTAGTTATGGACCAGTTTAGGCGTGAAGTTGTAGTGCCTAAACTGTTCGAAAGTTTAGGTGCTACAACCTCAGAAGCGTGGTCACCTCTGGTTTAGAGTGTGGAACAGTTAGGAGATCCTGATCTGATGATTGGAGAAGATTGGAGAAGTATGATAAAAACTATTTTAAAACAGAGTGACAGGTTCCAGGCTTGAACTTTGATCTGATTCCACTGATTTTTGCCAGGAAAACAATTAAGAAATTTCCACAATCATCAGATGATGTTGTAGGAAAACTGCACAGAGCAGGCGTAAAAAGTCTGTTGATAGTGCTAAAGAGGAAGCTTGCATTGCACTTATTATTGTTAGTCAAGCCAAACAAGTAGGATGTTATGCATATTTTACAAGTTGAGTGAATGTGGTTAGTAGGTCCTTTATGTGCTGCTAGTGCACATAGAAGGTTGTATTTGGTTCAGCTTTTCTGCAGTCTGTTCTGTGATGATGAATATAACCACTCATCCAAGGGGAGGAAATTACAGCATGAGCTAATTTGGATTTTTACATTATCAAGGGCTAATGTACACAGATTATTAAATCAATTCAGAGTTGAAAATCTAGCTGCCCAAATCTAATTAAAGATAATTTGCATCTACCTCTGTGAAGACAAACTGGTTGTAGAACAGACATGAAGAGCGAGTTTAAGGATAGGACAGGAGCAAAAACAAGGTCCAGGATGTGTCCAACATCATGAGTTGGACCATTAACCATGATGGACCTAATAAAACAATTTTGCAGTATTAACATATCTGGTGGCATGCAAAGAGATTTGAATACTCTGTAAGGAATTCAGTAGGGGATTTAGGAGGTCACTAGATAACAATATGTCCATCCCTTCATTCTCTTTCAACTATCACAGGATCACAGGACCCTGAACAGGTCGCCAGGCTGTTGCAGGGCTAACACAGAGAAACAGACAACTTTTCACATGCAAATCCAAATACAGGCATTTTGGAACAAACAGTTAACCTTACTAACTGCCTATGGCCTGTTTGAGGAAACTGAAGTACCTGGAGCAAACCTGGGCAACCATTAGGAGAACATGGAAGCTCTATAAAGGAAGTCCCTGGTTAGATGGTGGATGTGAACCCAAAACCTTGCTGCAAGGCAAAAGTGCTAACCACTGTCCCAACTGAAAGTACACTTGCTTTGTACACTTATAAATGATAGTATTTTGAATGACACTAATCAGAAGTAAATGGAACACAATTATCTATATATTATGTATTTGTCACCACAACCAAAGTTTGTGGTTTTCAGACTTTCACCACAAAGTTTTCAGACAAACGCAGACAACGAGAAAATACAACCAGCCACCCATTATCTGATTTCAAAAGTGTTTGCTATTTGTGTTTTTTGTAAAAGAGAAAAGACAAGATAATGGTGTTATTAAATTATTTAGGCTATGGGTGTGTTCATTTTCTCCGCCAGGACTACCAGATGTGGCTGGATCTAAGAAACCTTGAGTCTCGGATAAACGAGCGCTATATCACCCATGAGAGTGATGACCTGCGATGGCATCATCACGCCCAGCTCAGCGGCCTAGACTACCCCATGCACCTAACCAACAGCCCCTGTGGTGAAGTTGGACAGGGGATGAAGCGTTACAAGGAAAAGGAGGAAGAGCTGGAGACCCTCAGTGAGAGGGTGAGTGAACTATGAGGAAGTAAGAAGACTTATTTTCCAAACAACATGAGAAACAATGACTATCACAAAATGAAAAAAGCACAAAATGAAAACTTACAAAAAATTAGATCCTTACTTTACTTCCATAAATCATAACGAATCTTATTCTAATTAATCTAATTAACAAGTAGTTGTTTCGTATTTGCAAGATAAGGCTCTTAGAATTACATCTGTAATGCTAGAGTCACTGCATAATTAGGAGTTAACAATTTTGTATTTAATTAGAAGGTCCTTGTGTTATTTATCCCATAGTTTTTTTTTTCAATAGGGTTGTGAAGCTCAAACTATTTATTACCTTTACAAGGCACAGAACTTTCAAATATATTTGAGATTATTGTTATATGTAAGGATCTTGTAATTATTTTTATGTAATTACAAGTCTTTTGTTTCCTGATTTCAAAGAATTATTCTCGCAATTTACAAATGCAACATTTGCTCCTTTTAAATCTCGTAGATGAATAAGCACCTTGATAAACTCACCCTATCCCAGAATACCAAAACAAAAATCCTATGTTAAGGCAATATTGATTTTTGATTAAGAGGTGCGAATTTTTCAAATGACTTCTTAATTTTGACTTTAAAAAAGTTAACGTCATGCAAGATAGTATAATTACGAAATATACAGTGGAGACACATATGATCCACTGTTGTAATTACTGGATCATTATTTCATGCAATTTTTTTCCCTTTGTAATCTTTATCCTTATTAAATGTAGTAAAATAAATTTAAAACAACATAATCGTTCCATCCTTAATTTGTTGCTATGAAACAAAAATGTCATTTCTCCATGAAGAGCTACAAATTACAGTACTGGGCAGAAATCTTGAGACATCTCTCAATTCTTTATGTTTTGCTTGGGAAATGGCAGATCCGTGCAGTGATTTATAGAACAGAATTCTGTTGAATGGGAACAGAATGTAAGGTGAAAACACCTGTGCGCACACTGCTTCAGTAATGTTGAGGTCTGGGTTGTGGCTAGGCCAATTCATGGCAGGTGGGGCTTTTTCTACCAAAGTATGCTTTACTATACTGACTATGTGTTTAGGATCATTGTCGTCCTGGATGATGACGCCACTGGCAAGTATAATAGTGCATCAAAATCTGATGCAACCATATTTTCATAAATTTTGGTAAGATCCCAAAAACCATCATCTGACTGACTGATCTTTTCCTATTTCTTAATGACATGATTTCATATACTGATGATCTGCTGTAGATAGTTTTGAGGTCTGCCACTTCTTCTTTTGTACTCCACATGTCCTGTTTCCTCCGATTTCTTAACCTTCCTGCCTTCTTGGGACCTTTTTGTGCCACTGCTATGTGTTAAATGGCTGCCATTTCCACTGTGTTCAGTGGAATATAACCAAACTTGCCACAGGATAGTTTTTACCTGTCAATGTTAATATTCCAGTGTGAATTTCTTAAATCAGCCTAAAATGGCTGAGCAGCAGAAATCCCCACACCCATCACCCTGGGGACCATTTTCTGCCCATTGACTTCCATTACAAACGCTATTTTTCAACCCCAAATTATCATCATATGATTTTATTTTTTCTTCTTTTCTTGGATGTCAATGAAGACTCAGGGCCTTGAAGTTTTAATTTTTAAATTGCAAAAAAAATGCAAAAAAAATAATGGCAGGTCAAAATGTATGTTGGTGCCAATCTTTGGTCCATCTAAAGGCCTACTTATAATGACAATCACATATTACTTCAACTGGTTTTTTGTGGAAATATTTAGTTTCGTTTTTTGGTTTTTGGGGCTTATAACACAGGGCGCTCATGTAATAACACTGGGATTTGAAGGGTTAAAACAACGAAAATATAATTAAAACTTTACATGAATATTTCAGGGAGAAGTAGTTTTACAAGGTTGGCTAATTTAAAGTGGAATAAAATATGGATATATGGTCTTTTTATGGCGTGGCTGAGAATGGTCCCTAGGGTGATGGGTGTGAGTTTTTTAAAGGATGGCAGGAGGGTTAAGGGAACACTGAACACTGTATGCCAAGATTTGCCAAGTTTTCTGTGAATTTTTCTTTCCGAATCGCCTCGTTGGTGCACAAGTACTGTTTTATGCCTGCAAGCCTGTGCGATCTTTGCCATTTTCATAGAACAAACTAATGACGTAGGGAAAATGACAACAAAGTGCTAAGGATAAAGTGTAAAATTGGTTCTGTACTAAGTTGTCTTTAATGTGAAGATACAACACCGGTTCATGTGTTACGGTCTATGCCTTTTCTGTGATTCGTGGGTCATTGTTAAATGGCTCATCAAACAAAAGAATATTCTCCAGAAAATGATCTGGACTGGACTGAAAATGAGTGAACAAGCAGCCATTGTCCAAAGAAAAAGGCCTTCAGAAATCCTGGAGAAATACAAAAGACCAATTACAATCAAGTTTGGGTCCTTGGAAGCAATATATAAAGAAATGAGGGGTGGCTCAGGAAATTTGCACAGTAGCGTATATGAGTTATACTTAGAAAATAAAAAGATGAATGTGAATTGTTAGGAACCACTACATTTTTTTCACCATAAATCATAGTAAATCACTGAAAATGACACATCAGAAAGTGTGTCAGAAGGCGATCATAAACTAATATTTAATTTATACTGTACAAACATGAAACTTGCTATTTAGGGCTTGTCACATATTCACGAGTTTCCTGCAGCTTGCACAAGATTTTGCAGATGTGGAAATAAGCCATGGCTTCCTTCACAACAAATTCAAAACAAAACACAGAGCTCATTCACCATCAAAACTTACCAAGTGTTTACACTCATATCGTCAGATTAAAGTAAAGAGTATTCACTCTGGATGTTGTGTAGATTAAATCCTTACAATTCTTTAAAAATGTATATACATTATTCATTATAAAAAAAAGTTCTAAACTTGATTTTAAAAAAGGAAACAGCATTTTTCTTCAACCTTGACAAAAGTCGTTTCTTTTGCTCGTCATGTAAAATTATTTAAGGTAACGTTTGTCTTCTGTCTGATAAACACAAAGTAGAAGGACAGTTGATCTTCACAACTGAAACATAATTCCTAATTTTCCTTTGTAGCAATGAAAAGTCACGAGTTCGGGTTTCATTCCAAAAAGAGATATCCAAGGTACTGTCATTAAGTCATTTACAGATAAAGTGACTGCTCAGTGAAAAGTAATTTACTATGATTTGAGACGTTTTTACTTTCCCCATGTTTTCCAAAAATGGATATGTAGCATTTTGGAATGAAAATCCTCAGTTGCTAAAAACACACTGCCAGTGACATACCAAAAACAACAAGATAAATGTTTTAATGTGTCAGTATTTTTTTTTAACAGTGGAGCCACAAATATCTAATCCAAATGGGAATATATGATTACTTTGATACATTTGCATTGCTGTGGTTTTCTTTCTTTTCCTATGAGATGAGATAAAAGGTGATGTGTCTGGTTTCGTTTGACAGGAAGTTCACTTGAATGCTATGTTTTGCCTTCTGTAAACAGTATAAATGTTAGTGTCTCAGCACAATCTAGGACCCAAATACATGCTCTTTTGATTTTGTAAGGGACAACATCAAGGCCATGTTTTCACCTAAGCTTTTCAGGAAATGCTCCATCTTTAGCTCAACATTTAGTTAACCTTCTGAATCTTTTTGAAACATTCATATAAAATAACACACAAACTAGTTTTCATCTCCCTGTTTATGGTCTTGACTGTCCACCTCTGCCTTGCTTACTAGTAAACATATGAAAATATTTAATATTTAAAATTTTGGAATTTGAATAAAGCTTTAATCAGCAGGTTTCATGTCTTCTTTCTATACAGTTGAGAGACTGGAGCTGATGCATTCCTGGTAATATGCTGTATGTTAATACTTAGCAAATACCAATTTATCCAAAAATACTTCTATGTAGAAACTTTTTTAAGACTGAGGATTAAAGGCTTATACCATCTTTTGGACAAAAGACAAGCCAGTCCCTGTGTCAAGATTCCATTTCCTATCTCTGTTTGTTAACTAAATTACTAGCAGAGGATAAGACGTGTGGAGCATACTTTGAATCAGGTGCGAAAGATATTGTGTAGGACAAGATTTTGTTGACAATGTGTCAGAGATCCTGTTCATACGACGACCTTTTTGAAGTACCAGTGTGTTTTACTTCTCATTCAAAATTTCTCTCAATGGACCCCCCACAGTCATTAAAGCAGTTTTGTCACCAGTTTGCTTAACTCAGGCACCCAGTTCAACCTCAATCCTCGTATCTCCTCTCCTAGCCACCTCCACTTCCCATTTCAGTTCTTCCTAGTAGAAAGTCAAGCCAAAGGAATCAAAAAGCTACCTTTGTGCACTAGCATAATTGTTTCCTTCTACTTTTTGAAGCACTTCCTCAGATCCATGAAGATCCTTATCATCTTCATCAGTGCAGGTCGCTCTGGGTCATCTGGCAATAACTTATTTAGCTGAAACAGCAGAATGTCATCCAGCCAAAACATCTGGATATTTGTTAGTTAAAAATGCTGCTGTTCTCTTGATCCCATACTAAATAAATACTCCATAAAATTAGGACAAGTTTGCATTTATCCAGCTTATTAATATTCACACCAGCAAGTAAAGAAAATTACCTTAACTTGATGTTTTTACATCAACCACTCTTCCTGGGTTTAAATACTCAATCTTGCCATTCAGTCACTTCGGAAAGGCATTTCCGTACTCACATATTCGATGAGGGACCAGTCGCTTGTGATCAGCTCAGTCTGTAAGGATGGATATGTTGGACATCTTTCAGCTTTCAGAATTCAGGAGAGAGCAACTGTGGTACATGGGTACTATCGCTACTACCAACTGTTTACAGAACAAGCCCTTTGTGCGCAAGGTGGTTTGTGCCACTGTACTGAAATAACTATCTACTGTTATTGTAGTGTAGAGGTTAGTAGCAACCAGCGTTATCGCTGTACCTCAGAATTTGTCCCTGAAAAAGAATTTACTTTTTTGAGACACCACCTTCAAATGAACATACACTGATAAAACAACTAACCTCTTCTCAATTGATTAACCATTAATTTGGGGACTTGAATGAGTAAAACAATCAAATCAAGAAAAGTTATTAATATATCAGACCCACAAAATATACTAAATGAGTTATTTGAAACTGGTTAATAATTAAATTTAAAATTACATTTAAAGTTATATCTGAATCAGTAACGATGAGGGATTTGAGAATTGTGTCTACCAGCCGTGGTCAACATCCTCCTATACAACATTAATTACACCAGGATATGTATTAATGAGAATTTAT